GTTCCAATCCCACACAAGACATGGATGTTTGATATGTGTATGGGTTTATTCTGTGTTTGTGTTATCTTGTGTTTAGGTAGAGGACTTGCGGCGAGCTGATCACTCTTTACTGTCTGTAAAATGATCATGAAACTGAAAATCAGATGGCAGGGCCCAAGGGGGCTGTAGAGACAGTAAAAAAAAATCTATTTTGACACTCGACGGATTTTTCATTGACTTTGTGGGAAAAAAAATCACTTCAAATTCAGAAATTTTTCACGAAATCCGACTTGGCGTTATCGATAACAAGTAATCAGAATATATGGGTGTGAAGTGTCCTAATCCTGCGTATAAATTACCAAAAAGTCTGACCAATAAATTATATTTTGGAGGACAAGTGTACACAGACACTGGCCTGAACATGACGATGTAACTAATGAGTTGCTATTTTTAATTTATAGTTCACTACATCGTCCTGAAGAAATGAATTTTCTCATGCGAATACATCATTAAATGATTGCGTATGTCATTACCATAAATCTTAAGCATTGTCGCTTCCCGGTACATCTGAAACAAATCCATTTACCGCACAATTAACAATTCTGCTTATTCATACATCTAAATTACTTAATAACAGCATCCGTACCTCCATGCGACCCTTCTATGTTACAAACCGTACTGTGAGCTCTAACATTATCTTCTCACACAGGCTTACTTTCACATCTTCACATACTCGGTCACCTCTCCGTTACCTGCATACAAGAGTGTTGCCTGGGCGATCCAGTTCAAAGGTTTCTATTCAGAATGAATCTTTCCCTCTCTTACACGGCGTATCTTTGTATATTTTGCGTATAGGATCTGCCGATAGAATTCAGCAAATCTCCGTTCTCCGATTCTCTTCGGATGGTGGAACAAATTCTTTTGGAAATCGCATATTTCATTTCAGACGACAAACTTCACGTAGCAAGAGTCCTTCTTGGAAATCTAATTGTTGTGCAGCGAGTCAAGAATTTATGGAGCTAAACGCTCATTTCCATATTCACAAAAACCTACCACTTGTCCTTTTTATAAACTGGTGAATCCATTCCACAATGTTCCAGTCTATTCCTTTACGATCAATTTTAAAATTATTCTCTCATCTAAGCCTAGTTCTTCCGGGTGGTTCCTTTCCCATAACTTTTCTCATTGTAGTTTTGTATGAACCACTACTGTTTCTCAAGCATGCTACATGTCCCACCAATCTCATCCTCATTGATCTGAATACCCTAATAATATTTATCATGAAGTTCCTCATCATGCAATTTTCCACGGTAGTCTGTTACTTCCGCGTAGCTCCAAATATTCTCTTGAGCATCCTGTTCTCACTACCCCCTAGTTCTGTTCTTCCCTTAGAAGCACAGAATTTTTAATTCTTCTTATATTTTTGTATCTAATAAATTAAATTGCCCCTTAGCCGATGATGTCGCGTACATCAGCAAAGCCCGGGACAAGAGAATGTCCTGTCTCCAAAATCATAAACTCCGAGGACACGGATCTGAGTTACAGGACGAAATCCTGAACGCTTAAGTTATCAGCTCCGACCAGAAATACTACCCTCCTTTTGTTTTCTTCTGGGAACATTAGGCGTGACTCTCCGTCCAAGCACCTATCCCATCTCCCAAACTACTAAAACTACTTTCATTGAACTTCATAGTGCGAGTCTATAGAATTCTTCATCGGGAATTTAATTTGTCCATGTGGACCAATAATATCTCATTTACATGTACCTCTGACCGATGTATATCATGTTTCTTAAATCCGGCTCTCGTTCGAAATACTGCTAATAAAATTCTCGTTAAGATTCATAACATTACATCGGCGCTTTCCTATGCGTTACAAAATTGTGGGAAATATAATGAAAATCATGCATTACTAATCAATTTTATGACGAGTGTGTATAACACTCAGAATTAGTGGATTTTCGGACTTTATCCATCGTCCGGTATTCTAAAAATTAAAGAAAACAACGTTTCGGTAACTGGATATTTCCGTCTTTAGGCGAGGGTGGAGACGTGCTCTGTGGGGTTCAGTCATGGAGTTTATCTCTTTCTAAGGGACCCAACAGACTAGGTGTCTCCCCCCCTTCACCTCAGGACGGATACAGATCCATTTCCCGAAAAATTGTGTTCTCCAGTTCTTAGAATACCGGAAAATGAGCAGAGTAAAAAAAAACAGTAATTCTGAAACGTAATCAGGTTTTCAAAACTTAGTTTGGAACTTAATATAAATAAGTATCATGGCGAATATGGTAGTAAAACTTCCGAAGAATACGTAACTACAGAATGTCCCATAAGCCTGAAACCGTAGGTAGTAAAGAGTTCTGATAGATCTGTTAACAAAATGTACTCAACATATGCATCATTCACACCGAAACAAACCCTCAGACATTTCTATCAATGTGAAAGAAGGGTTCGCATATTTTGGGTGCAAGCTCGACGCATGTAGTGAGAGCTCGCTCTTGGAGCTTTTCTGTTTCGAGTTCCAGAATTATGGAATATCCTATATTTAATGTACAGAGCCTACTTGAAATTGGAGTACACCTTTCCACCAGGGCTTTGTTAGTTTGCACCTGGAAATTTCTGCGATGTCTATAGGCTTCATCAAGAATGGAAGAAAAAACATCCCTTTTTACCTGCAGATTATTCACAATGTCGGCTACATAAAGGAAGCTGCTAAGTACTTTTCACAACAAGAGGTTCGTTGTTTAAATGATTAATGGGCAAAGTGTGTGTAAAGAAATTATAAATTCTGTGATTATAAAAGTACGGACTTTTTCGAAGACCACCAGCATCTCAGACAAAAGAAAGTGACTTTGCGGCAAATGAAAATGAAACAAAAAATGAATAAATGAACCCGATTCAAGCGAACCGCTTTCTTGTTTGACCGTCAGACGTAAAGTTATCTTGATTGAGGCTCCAGAACTTTGTGTCTGAGGTTCAATGCGAAGCGTAACACATACGGGCACAAGAATATTATTAAGATCATCAACCAAATCCGTGTAGAAGGGCTATTCTTGAGAAGCTAATGGTCGGTCATCTAATCAGGAAATTCCTTAACCTTTATATGGAACCCGAAAGTTCATTACCGCGTTCACAAGAGCCCGCTACTGGTCCCTCTCCTGAACAAGATAAATCCAGTGCATATTGCTTCAGCCGATTTCCGTAACCATTCGTTTTAATTTTATCCTCTTTCACATTGTAACCTTCAACACAATTATTGATTTTTTGGAAATTGCCTATCGTCCTATTTTTTATTTTAAATCACAATTCGGAAAACAGGTCTGGAGATAAGGACTAGCTCTATCGATTGGGCCCAACTGAGAAGTCTTTTTACCTGAAGACGGAGATAGAATATAGTCTCCGAAATCTTATGTTTTAAATGGAAAAAAAAATGGATGATGGCTAATGTACAAAAACCCAATAATGTTATTAATATATCATCGTCACAAACTTTTAGATTACATCATTTAATTATTGCAACTAAAATTACATATTCATTTTGTATCGCTCCCATGCGCATTCTGTGCCTCGTCCATTATACCGCACTTCAGTTGATCGCCATAATAATGCAGCTCATAACAAAGAATACAATTTGCTAAATCATAGACTATCCGTTGTAATGATGGTATTTTGGGGCGGGGGGATTTAGTTTAAGACGGCCTCATACTCTCAGGCTATACAGTGTCGAATGTTAGCATGAGTGGCGAATAACGAATTGTAAAGAATTTCGAATGAAGCGGTCTCGTCCCAGTCGGAGCATTATCTGGCGGGACTGGAAAAAGCCACGAATAAAATTGAACAATAATCGCCCGTGTCCCAACCGAGATTCGAGCCGGCTACTTCCCAAATACAAACCTAGAGCGTTGCCGACACACCATCCTGCTTGATGATATGATTTTAATTGTAGGCCTTCACACAAAAATACTTTTAATTAGAGCTTTACTGTCAGAAAAATGTTTGCGTAACGAACACTGCATCAAGAAAGAGAAGAGGAAATTGACGGTTTAGGCACTGAAATTTATCAAATTAATTCTTTGACGGCCATAGTGACTACTGTTTCTGTGTTAGGCGCTGTGAAGTTCAAGAACAAGAGTTAATATACGAGTATGTAAATACTATTAAGAATCGGTTATTATTGTCGGTTTCAGTGGCAGATTCTGGCTTAGATGTCAGAAATGCACATGTCCGATCATCAGTATTAATGATCGTATTTTTTGCTTTTCACGATTACGAAGTTCGAAACCATAGTTTTGGACCTACAGCCAATCTGTGAAACTATCCACACCTCTAGCCTGATGAATACGAAACTAAGAAACACTGTGGTGCGATTATCTGTGTTCGTGTTGCCCTGTGCAGGCAGCGTCCTTGCGACGGTCTGATCACTCGTCCAAGGAATTCTGCCGACTGCGTAAAAAAAATGAGTACGAAACTGAAGACGAGGCCAGGGCCCAACAAGGGGCTGTAGAGCCATTGATGATGATGATGATGATGATGATAATGGCGACGATCACGACGACGATGTTGGGATTATAAAAACTATTCCTGACAACTTGAACTTCTTTAACTATGCGCATTTCTTGAGATATTTAATCGTTCATTTCTGAGATTAAATTCTGAAGCTATCATTAAGAACGAAAAAGACCTGATGTCATAATTCATGTCTCTTTGTTACAATCTGTAACTGCATGCAAGGCCTGCAGGGCGCACTTTTGTTGCTAGGATACGATCCCTGTCTTTCATTAATGAATCACTTGTCTTATACAATGCAGCCAATTAATACTCATGTGGTCAAGAAATGTCTCGATTTATCAGAAATTAAAATTTCATAATCGCGCCCGCCACATCTCCACGTCTAACTCATCTAAGCTTCATTTTAATATTATTTTCTGACCTAATTCTTTGTATCTCAAACGGTATCTTCATTTGAATACCCATCTGCGCTTTGATTTCATTTTGAATGAGTGTGAATCTTGTAATTTTCAGATGTCCGGTGAACCCACGAGTCATTTCACAGTTTAAGTACGACGAGAAGACCGGAGCAGCGGACGCCATACTGTACTCAATGTTCAGGTTCCCTGAGAGCAGCGAGGTGCATTTCCAGTGCGACATTGCAGTCTGTAAAGGTAAGCCTGTCCTCCCAATTACCGGGCTCTAGTACCGAACAAAGCCGTGTGAGTCGAGTCCGTGTATGTCCCGATGAAAATCCTAATTACGAACCAAACATGTTAGTGAGAAAGAGGTGGGTGTCATATTTTGAAAACAGATCTTACATATAAGCTAACAAAAGCCGTGCCCCTGGTTTGTCGTAACTTTCAGTTCTAAATGTCCACAAATGTACATTTTGATTAGTCAAGGCACAAGGAACAGGATGCTTAACACAGAATATCTTCTCAGTATCAACACCATCTTCCCTGGGAACATCCTCTTGTCGTAAACTAGACTTTCACCTTTCGTGTTATCTGCCTTCCAATCTCAAGAATGCCACAATAACAAATGAAGGATTTATAAATTCAAAAGAATGCACAAAGGATCTGTGAATATGTGACTGAAACTAACGAAACATACCAGTAAAATACATCTATTTCTAGTCCTGTGCCGCCAAATAAAATCACGAAAGTAGGAGTTGAGCATTTGTCGATCAGTTCCCGATTGCTTCATATATCATAATTTTCTCTGTTCCCAGATGGATTCAAGTGGTATATGTACTCTGTAACCGGATGTATACAGTGAATAGAATGGTTGACGTTAAGGTTTTGATTTTGTTGAGAGAAAGTTTTTATACGCCTGCTGGTCTTATGGTATTATTGCACTTTCAGGAGTTATGTATTTACGAAATATTTTCGCCGTTAATTCTAGCGAGATCTACTGACATACAACAATGCTACGACCCTCTTCTTTTTGACACACAATACTGCCATAACATGGTGGCAGATAATAGGAAAGATTCCTAGGCTCTGACAACCGAATAGCGGCTAGATATATGAGGATTTGGAAATCACTTCTTTCACTCGTCAGGGTTTCAACACAGTGCGGACAGTGGAACAGGTTGAACCATCTTCCATCAAGCAAGAGAAAACTGTCATCATTTCTAAAGACTGTTAATGTGAGACGTCATGTACCTCTGTCACTAGGGAGCTGCTCTGATGTACAGTGCGAGACGGACTTGGAGCCCCTCCCTGCTGCCCAGGCTCGAGCTCAGGACAAGGACGTCTATAGCACAGAGGGAGCGTCTAGTGACGAGGGCGTGCTAATGGCCAGCACCACCGTCTTCGTACGGGATCCCGGTGACGAACCCAGTAAGTATATACCCTACCAGTAACTGTCAACCGGACTGAAGGAATGCACTCAAAATGATATGTATTTTTTCAAATGCGATTTGTGTTAATTATCATATATGTCTCATTGGTTATGATATTCATTTATTTCAGACAAAAATGCATTGTTGCGAGGGCAGGTACACTGAAGATACCATATTTCAGTGCCAGAAATTATTTTTCCTTGTATTTCGCTAAATGTTCACCATGCGGATTTTTTTAGAATACTGTACATCTCTATCAGACCCCTTCTGAAAAAATCAATAAATTTCAATTTTGGCTTCACGGAAATTAGGAGTTATAACTGACCGGTAAGCCCGACAAGTAAGTTCGCTCGACAGCTTTTAGCGTGGATCCTAGTATGAAATTTCATCTAAATCCGTTGAATATATTCTGCGAAGAAGCATGCAGCTGCACGGTACCTGTCTTCCAGTTATGTGTTAATTTTATGAATTTTCTGCAAACAATGCATGAAAAGGTAAAGATAATTAAATAATTAAGCTGTATGATATGAAGACATAGGGGGAGTGGAGGTGTAGCTCCACCATTCTTGACTTCGACACTAGATGGAGATCAGTGGTGAGCTTCATGCCTCGGCCACTTCACCCACGGGGAAATCACCCCTGGTACCTACTGGATAGGAAGCTGGAAGGGCCCCAGGACCGATCTGGAAGCTATGGAGAAGAGAATAGCTTACCGCTGCCGGGAATCAAATCCCAGCCTTTCAGCCCTGTCGCCGTCGCTAGTCCGACTACAAAGAATGCATAAAATTGAATTTGATGTTAAAATCCAGGATTTACTGGAAATAAATTGAATTAGTGAGGATATGCTTAATTTCAGAAGCGATTTTCTGCTACTTTGTATCATCCACGAAGTACTGCAATGATGGGTTGCTAGGAAATACGAAATTTAAATTTCCGTCGTTATCTCAACTGTCGATGGCGGCACAAGCAAATGCACCTTTGGATTTAGCCTCAGAAAGTACACGCAGAAGTTAATTTTGCAGTAAAAGTAAAGCTATCCCTGTACCAGGCCGTGAAGGCCCATAGCGTTGTGAGACGTGGAGGGTGGCCCTTAATATTGCAAATCTGAAGTAAAACCAAAATGAAATGGCTCCATACAGTTCAGTGTGTCTACAGCATTGATCAAATCTAAAGTGATCCTGCCGTTTGAGTGATGCTGCTTGGGAGCCCACGCTGACAGGACTAACGGGCGGCCTTCGGTTTCCTGTCTCTTTTCCGAAATGCACTAAAATGACGTATTGGAGAAAATATAAAAAATTCTATTTGAATATCGGAGTGGATTGCATTAGTGAAATCTTAGGTTTTCCCAGCGATGATTATGGAGATTACGATCTAGCATATGACACCGTTTAGTTTGGTAGATGGGTACTAATGATCTTTAAGGTAAAGTCCCTGTGCTTAACTTAGTAAGCACTATGCCATGAAGGCGTATGGGGGAGTGGATGTATAGATCCATATTTTCTTAACCACGGCACTGACTGGAGGTGAGTGGTCAGCTTCAAGCCACGCCCACTTTACCCTCGGGGAAAGAGCCCCCAGTATCCATTGCAGAGGACGCTGAGTGGGCCACAAAGCCGGTCTGGACGAGGTGGAGTAGAGAAAATCCTTGACCCTACCGGGACTCGAACTCTGTCCCCTTGGTCGTCCAGCCCGCAGCTAGTCGCTATACTGACTGAGCTATTCCGGCTCCATTAATGACCTCTTCTACCCTGAAAACGTAACCAATTGGTTCTTCAAAATCGTTGGTATCTCTGTACCATACTACAAGAAGTCATATCCCAGAAGATCGTAACCTTGGGTTGAGTTTGAGGGGATGTACCTTCTGCGATGTAACATCGTGTAGTGGGGTGAAAGTTAACTGGCGTTTCGTAGGAATATCGCTTCTATCTTCAGGATCGAAGAGTATGCCAACCAAGAGAGGCCGTGCCATATCTCAGGTGGCTAGTCGCCGGCTTCCTACACTGGCAACCCGGGTTCGCTCCCGTATCACGACACGTGGGGTTTATGGTGGACAAAATGGCACTGGGGTAGATTTTTCCGGAGTACTTCGGTCTCCTCTACTAATTTTCATTCCACCAAATATTCCATACTCATCTGTCACATGAGGCTGGTATAGTAGGCCAACTAGTGGCCGGCGTATCAAATGGACTCAGTCTCACCTCACCCAACGAAATTAAAAGAAAACCAAAAAACAACAACAACAACAAAAAACAGCACGAAGCACACAGCAGGAAGAGCTTTGCTTGCTGCCTACACGGCGTTAAATACCAGAAAGTACAACAATTCATAACAACCGCTGTGAGAATGTCAGATCCTTCTATTCGATTGAATACTTTCGCAGACCACTTCAGGTCCCAAGTAACATTTGTCACCGTCCACAGAGCCGGAATTGGACCCCGGTCAGGTCAATTACTTTTACAATCTATCGAGTCCAATTTCCAGGAAACGGAGTCGACGGTTCTCATGGGAAGAAGCTACGTAATATTAAAGTAGCGAATGACATTGTCCTCTTTCATTGATGGACTTCGCCATATCTTCCTACATCGAGAAAGGTATTTTAAAACTTAAATTCATCTATTCCTTGTATAGTCCTGGCTTGATTCCCACTTTCACTGTCCGGTTGCTCTCCGCGCCAGAGAGATCTTCGTTTTTTTTTTTCCAAGTGGTTAAACCGGTTTAACAGAAGACTACGCCCGGGGCTGAAGCCAGCAAGGTCACTTTGACTGCGTTAATAGAAAGTGTAGGCTGTACTTCAGATAGGCACAGACGTGGGCTAAGAAATGAATGGCGTGGAGTAGATCTGTACCTATCAGATCAGGGGTGGTTAAAGCGAGGATATGGAGCGACTGAGAGCTGTTTGATTGCAAGATCTTGGAAAAGTGATGCCTGAAACTACGTCATTGGGATTGCGTACGATGAACTGGACATGTAGATCGAAGGAAATGTAAGAAATACATACAAATTTTGGTGGCAAAGTCGCTTAGGAAGCGGTCAGATGGTACAGTAAGAAGGTTTACGAAAATGAAATTTAGATGTCTCCTAGGAAAATGCGTTTTGATTTTGTGGGTGAATGAAACTGGATTATGAAGACTTAGGGCTCTGCTTCTCCCCTGCTTTCACGCTGGTTTATCCCTCGGCTTATTTTTCGACCCTGAAGAGGGAAGCAATATGTTCCTCCATTGGTTGACTTTCAACGGACTACATGGCTTGTATCCCAGAAGACGATACTCTTCGGAAGTGAATTGTGTGCAGCAGCGGGATTTCGTATTGCGAGTGTTAAACGTTCGGTTTCTGCTACCGTAATCAGCTAGTTCTTGGAACTAAAAGAGACGAAATTCAGCCCCAGCAGCCACACTGCTTGTGCTCCTAGACCTCTCGGACACTGAGATCGCTAATAATAAGCCCACTTGGGGTACGGATTCATCTCCCCATTTTTCTGGTGTTGTTCTGTGTAGGTCGAAGTCTTGCCATGTTCAGTTCTGCGGCTTGTCTGAATACGGAATGAGAATGTACTTGTGCTAGATAATGCCGAAACTGAAACCAGGCTGCATCATTAAGATATCCCTGCAACAGGCCTTGGAGGCCATTAAAACGGAAAGAAATTAAATAAGTGAGGGGACATGGTAAAATTCGATTATTTGTGAACTAGAGAAACAACCCAAATTTCATTTTCGAAGAAATTAAGAGCAGATTAAATTCTGGTAATGAACTGAAGAGTTTATTCAGTTCACAGTCTTTTCACTTCCCATATCCCATTTAAAAATCTACCCAGATTAGAACATAGAAAGCTACAACTTAACCTGGTGAATTGTGACCCTCTAAAACTTAATCTTCCATATTAAGGGAACGGACTGCATTGAAGGTATTTGGGAAAACCCTGCTCAGAAAAATATTTGGATAATAGACGGAGAAAGTGATAGGACGCCGAAGATAATTATATCAGTTTTGTAGTTTGTATTCTTAGCCAGACAACTGCATGATCAAAACAAATGGGACGAGTAGGGCGGAACATGAAAGGCTGGAAAAAAAAAAATGAAGGGAAGACAAAACTTCAATAATAACATTTATTTTCTCTTTATCATTTCAGTAAAATCTGTACGATATTTTTTAGTATTACACACCTAAATAGGGGCGTACTTCTATAACATGACGCATCCTCGAACTGCAGGAATAATAAGGACAAAATATTAAGCAAAATAATAAAGGAACATTGAACGTCAGCCCGCTCATAAAAATCGTAAATATGTTACTTAATTATAAGCAATGTTTCCACCCTTTCCCTTTTCGATGGGTATAAAATCGATACTGTCGTCCCTTCATTAACTGAAACAAAATAATTAATTACAGGAAACCTGTTTAAAAAGAATTTGGTTTGAAGATGAATATGACATATAAGGTAATAAAAAGTCTCTGGTTGCAAGTATAAGCAATAAATCTGATATAAGATGATTTCTAATACACATACCGTATTTACGCATGTATAGGCCGCGTGCGTGTATAGGCCGCAGCACAATTTTCAGACAGAAATTATAGAAAAAATAATTTTCTTGGAATATTATTTCAGGAGTATTACACCCTGTATTACTAATTATGAATATAATTTTTCTTTAATGAAGCGTGATTTCGAATATTTCGAATATAAGCCGCACCCCAGTTTTCCTCTTGAATTTCTGGCAAAAAATGTGCGGCCTATACATGCGTAAATACGGTATATCATGTAATGCAGAAAGGAAATGACAAGGAAATTTGGTGAAAAATTAGCTTATTCGCTTCTAATTATCTTCTGTACATATACCTATGTTTAGAAATCTGATCCCTTGAATTTACTTGAGATTGTATTGTCCTGATGCAAATGGGAAGGAACTGAGTTAGACTGAGTTCACTGCATTCTTACAAATCCAATGTAACAAGAAGTGACTAAAGCAAATAGAAAAGAAACGAAGCTTCTCAGTAATATTG